TACTTCTTCTTCGGGGTTTAACGGCAGCTGGCATCCTTGTACATGCAGTGCTGCCATCTTCTGTTTCAGTCCGTTATTACACTCTTAAATCCTACTACTTATTCCTGCGTCTTTTGTGATCTTACAAAGCTTCAAACGACGCGTCGACTATTAAATCAGCCATCAACGATTTTGATAGTCGACGTAATCGTGACTAGTCGACTAATCGTGGCAGCCCTACTTTCTGGTATAGTACATTGTGTTACTTTGTCTTTTGTAGGAGCAAAGGTAAGGACTATGAATAATTGAGTGAAGCTGGTGCATTTAATGTCATGTTAATGTAAAGTTAATTAGCACCAGAAATATCAGTTTACCTGTGATTAGAGTTCATGTTTTACAGATGATAGTTGGATTCACGTGAGCACCTTCTGATCTTAACCTTAGTGAGATTAATGGGTTAGCAAGGTAAGACGAGGCTAAAGCCAGCGTTTTCAGTGTCACAAAGATGGCTTTCCTTTGACCTGGCCAGATCACCACAGTAACTTATGCTAAATACACAACCTGGTCAGCAACATGTTGTGGTTAAAGTTTTAGTTTAAAATCATTCAGAAGTGCCACATTTTTACTGATTTTTTTATTTTTATTTCCAGTAGCCTGTAAATGTGATATAGATTCTCTGCTGAAGTGAGATGTTTTGTAAATGCTACCTGTAGAACTTAAAAATGTCTCTAATGCGCACTCGACCCATTCTGCGCTAAAGGAGAGTCAAACATCGTGTCAGACGCCCCCTTTCTTATATGTGAGCACACAAAGAGCCTGAGTTAACAAAAACAGTTCTGTGATGACACCTGTCATCTTTGACTGGGGTTTTAGGTTTTGTCAAGCCAGATAGTGCAGGGAAACCTAGCTATGTTGAACTTCATTTGTAGTATATGCCTCTCATTTACCTTCTACAAACCATTTCAATTTTTAAAAAAGAGAAAGGAAACTCTGCGGCACAAAGTAAAGCACAATCAAAAATGACTTGCTTCCTCTTAAGGCACTTCCACCTGTCAGTGATTAATCCAGACTTCCTTAAATACTAACCCTCAATTATCTAAAAGAAGAAAACATGGTGTTTGTAGACTGAGCATTGAAAAAAGGCTCTAACACTGTACTGATGTGGTTTACCTGCTGACTTGTCTCCAACAGGATGTGTGCTCCAGTTATGGTGGAGCTGGAGGGAGAAACAGACCCGCTGCAGATAGCTATGAAAGAACTAAAGTAAGCCATAATTTTCTTTGATGACTTTTTGTCATTTCTCTTTTTCATGTGTGAGTGACATTATTTAAAGAGCAGGTGACTGTAACAGTATCTCTGTCTTTTTGTCCTCACTGACAGGAGCAGAAAGATCCCCATCATCATCCGCAGGTACCTTCCCGATGGGAGTTACGAGGACTGGGGTTGCGACGAGCTCATCATAACTGATTAAACATCTTATGAAGCAGTCTACGCTGACAGATCAGCCTAAGCTGCTTCACAGCCACCACCCTAACTGGTTTTACAGCTACACAAACCCAGTGGAGGAGTCTCCTTCACGCCCACTCCCAGATCCAGTCGCTGTAATTCTCCAGTGACTGTAAACATGAGGTGTACTGCATAAGACTACTTAAAGACTCAAAATAATGCAAAAAAAAATAGTATGCTGTTTATAGTTCATAATCCTGTGAACTTACTTATTGTTTTCCCCTCTAACTATTTGTTTAGTGTTCATCACAACCCAGCTCATTTTTTCTTCTTTCTTTTATCTGGTACCCACTGAACTCAATCGTTTTAGCGGCTGCAATGCTTCTAAGAGCCACAAGGGGGAGATATATCTCAGTCAAACACTTAAGTTTTTTAAAGGAATCCTGTATTATGAAGTATTTGTGTTTTTGAAAAGAGGTGATTGTAGTGAAATTACAGTTTTATTGTTATAAATAAAGATTTTTGTATAAAGAGTTTGATTTATGTTACTTACACTATGAAATGTAAACAGAGGTTTACAATGAGGGTGAAGTTACACTCTCTGGGTTCATAAGTCATAAAGACTTAGGAATCCTACTGCAACAAGCACTAAATGCACACATTACTGTAGTAGATCGATAGATAACAGTAAGAATCCTCACTTCCGACAGTGGATGTTGATGTTTACACGGAGAAGTATTGTCACAGTCATGATGCATGGTGTGTGTGGCTCCCCCCGCCCCACTCCATAAACACAAAGCAGCCAAACAGTCAGTGTATTGTTTTAGGAGAAATGGGTTGTTGCCCGGGCAGAGAGACGGCGAGTGAATGCGGGAAGACAGAGAGAAAGTTTGTGAGAAAGCAGATTAAAGGATTTCTTTTAGGAGACAGTGTGTGATGATACTCTAGTAAATAGGCGAGCGGATTATATGTTGCTTGTGTGTGTGTTTGTGGGAGCTCCGTGACATGTATGTAAAGACAGAACTGATTTGAAAGGAAAAAAAAAATGCAGCTGGTAATAAAACTGATGAAGAAACTCGTCTTTTTTCTTCTGTAGTCGACTTAAAGCAAAGGCGTGTCGGTCACTGTGACCTCTGAGCATCAGCAGGCAGGAGCCAGTTGGCGCTGGCATTAGTAATTATGTGTAAAATGTGTGAAAAACTGCTTTAATCTATGAGTCTTTTGATTGGAGGAGACGGTGCCTCGGGGTGATGCTGCGCTTGTTTCATGGGCTGGAGAGGGTGGCTCATGTGATGCTCACCAACACAGGGAGGCCAATATCAGGTCGCCTCCAGCAGAGGGAATGACTACAATCTCCCGAGACCTTCGCTGGATCAGGAACTTCCACCTCCTACTTGATTTGTTTGTCATTTGTCTGATTTGTTTTTCAGTCCTTTACAACATGACTTCTCTTATTGCTTTCCTAGATATACGCTGACTGGCCACTGTATTAGGTACACTTGTTCACCTGCTCATTATCACAAATATTGAATCAGCCAATCACATGGCAGCAACTCATTGCATTCAGGCATGCAGACATGGTGAAGATGACCTGCTGGAGTTCAAACTGAGCTTCAGAATGAGGATGAAAGGTGATGTAAGTGACTTTGAGTGAGGCGTGGTTGTTGGCGTCAGGCAGGCTGGTCTGAGTATTTCAGAAACTGTTGATCTGCTGGGATTTTCCCACGCACCCATCTCTAGGGGATACAGAGGAGAATGGCCAGACTTCTGCAAGCTGAGAGGAATGTGGCAAAAGCTAAAAAAAACACTTAACCAACTAAAGTCTGAATGCACACCAGAAGACCACACCTGTGCCACTAGTCTCAACTTAGAAAAGAAAACTGAGGCTACAATTTGCACAGCTCATAAAAAAAGTGTTTCCTGATTTCTGCTGTGATATTCTGACTGGATGATCAGAATTTGATATAATAAAAAAAATATAAAAAGAACATTTAAAAAAGGTGATGTAATCGCATGGTGGTTATTTTCTTTGCAGCTTTTAGGCCCCTTTGAGCACTAAGCCTACCTGAGTAGTGTTGCTGAACATTTCCTTTCCTTTGTGGATGGAGATAAAGGGATTGGACATGTTATCATGACAGGATAATACCATGTCAAAAAGCTCAAATCATCTTGATGGTTTCTGAGTTTATAAGATACCTTTATTAGTCCCGCGAGTGGGAAATTTCATGTTAAATATGTACTTAAATGGCCTCCTCAGTCAACAGATCACCATCCAGTATAGCTTCGTTTGGATGTGGTGAAACAGGAGATTCACATTATGGATGTGCAGCTGACACATCTGCCGCAGCTGTGTGATGCTGTCATGTCAACATGGACCAGAATCTCAGAGGAACATCTCGGGAAGGTCCAACCCTGTACTAACAAATTGAACTGCATTTTACTTCCTTTGATCAGCAGTGGTCATCTCATAGCTGCAACACAACTGAGTCTCATCTCTCTTTCTTTCACCTGTTGCACCCTCCCAAACTTTCATTTGATTCTCTATAATAGATTTCTTTTATACTTGATCAGTAGATTGGATTATCACAGGCTGATCTATTACTGCACTCTGGAGTTTCTCCTCTGATTCTTCATTTGCGTTTGTCAGTTTGGTCGTATCAGCACAGAGCCTTTGTTCTATTTTTTCATGGATCATCAGAGCGGAGCGTGCCACCTCCTTTCACATCTCAGGCGAAGGAGATTCTGAACAGAATGTGCTCAGCTAACGTTTCATTGCCTGCGAGAATCAAATGAAGCCTTTTGAGCAGTATCTCAACAGTCACCTGTCTGACACCTGCTTTGACATTCATTTGACACAAAATCCCATAACTCTGTCTATATCTTCTCCTTTTCATTATTTGAATCCCATTTCAGCTTCTATCTGATTTTTTTTTTTTTGTACTAGGATGGGGTGAGTGTTGGGGACGCTTAGAGGGTAGCGAGGGTTGCTGGGTCTCTGCATGGAGTGTAGGAGTCCCTTTGTATCCTGCTGAAGCGGCAGGCCAGGCAGTTATGGGTACGCTCCCTCATTGCCCATGTTTCCCTCCTCCCCCTAGATCCCTTTCAATGGCCCTCTTTGTCTTTGCAAAGTATCACACAGCCGATTAAAAAGAGGGAATTAAGAGTCAGGCTTAACCCACAACACGCACACACATACACACACAATATAAGGAACCTGAAATATGCATGCATAACCAACCCTACCCCCCGAGGCTGCATTACTTTAAGTTTATGTAAAGGAAGGTAGCTGCATCACAGTCTCATTCATCGCCCTCCACATGCACGTCACTATCAGCCGTGTCCAGCTTACCTCTACCAGTGGCCAGATTGAGCATCAGCCAGCCAAAGTGAATTATCCAGTAGCTGAAGAGATTATGTTGGGAATGTGAGCAGCATGGGCTGAGTCATTAGATGCCCCAAAGACGTGAGCTTTTGTTTGTTTGTTTTTTCACTGCAGTTTGTAGCCAGAAGAGAAGAGTTTTTGTGGTCTTCACAACCAAAAGGAACCTTTTTTCATCACTTGTAGTATTTATGACTTTTCAAGCAGAAATAACAAAGCTTTATTTCACGTCAGAATACAAAGTCATCATCATCATCGTGTTCAGGCTTTCACACCTGCTGTTATTCAGACGCAGTTACACAAGAAATGTGAAATGCTCAAATGAGAAATTGAGGGAAAGGATGTGCACGCAAACATGAAACCAAATCATAAATAAATGTGGAATTAAAAACATTACCCATAGCTCACACACACACATATATAGTAGCAATGAGAATGTAAGCTTAACTCTTATGCTGGAGGTAATTGGTTAAAGTAAAACTGACTTTGAGCTCTGCCTGAGCTGTGGTGCATGCATATGGTCCACATGTGTGCAGTACCGATATACATTACGTATAAAACAAAGAAATTCAGTTTAGCTCTTTTGCAGATATAGGTTAAGATATTTAAAATGCAGATATATTTGAGAAGCAGTGAAGAAGAATGCGGGATGTAGGGAAGAGAAATAACAGGTATAACGTGTAAATAAAGATGGTAAGTAATCATCAAAAGGTAAGTACTGATACAAAAGCTGTTAGTAGTAAAGTCATAATAAGGACAAGGCACATTTTCTATTTGACATCAGGCTGCGTTAAAACATTCAGTGCCTGGAAATTGTTTCTCAGTGTTGGCATTATTTACAATGTAACTTTTTAAACTATAATCAAAAGATCATTTTGTCTCACACTCAACCAAACAAAACAACAGACAAAGGCACTGCTGTAGACCTTCAGTGGATAACAATGGCAAAAAGTCATTTTAAACAGTACAGTCAACACAGCACGTTGTTAAAACAACAAGTACGTTTCTGTTAAGGATTTTGTCATGAAACACTGAGTGATAATGGATTATCAGCAGATGAATAGAACTGCCTTTCATCGTGAGTCAGTGCCTTTGTGCTACAAACTTAAAGGAAGTTTTTGACACGATTGCATTTTGAATTGAGTCAAAGCTAAGAAAAAAAACAAAAAAACAAAACACTAATTGGCCACAAAATGTAAGGTAGCTTTGAATGTTATGTTGGGAGAAACTTTCTTTTAAAAGAACAGTTTCTTCTTTATAAAAAGTACAGGTTTTGGTCTCAAAACTTTGGTCATGTTTGTGTGTATCGACATAAGTACATTTGCAACTTCAAGTACACCCAATAAGCTAAATATACACTTCAGTTAACAAAAGCACAGCATGGATTTATGGCATTTTTTCCCCTCCGTGCCCATTTGTCGAGTGTACAAAGGCATTTTAAGTGAACACAGCATAAACAAATTGTATTCAAAAAGGGACGACTGTGGCTCTGAGAGGACAGTATGTCATGAGTATTTGTTGTGTTGACTTTCGAAAGGAATACAAGGCTAACGTTTGTTTGACAAAAGGTCAGTCAAGCCTGAGAAGTGAAACGCCGGCAAATAGTTTGGCACTCCGTTCTCCTGGCGTTAAAACAAACATCTCGGGTAAAATGAATTTGTCTCCTTTGTCGCGCTCACAGATCGAAGTCTTGCTTTTTTCTCGCTGTGTCCCTGTCACCTCTGACCCCTCCGTTTGCCCGTGGCGTTGTGGACTGCTGCGATACACGCTGACAAGTACGTGATCTCATACCACCCATGAACACAGCCAGAAGTGCCAAAGGCTTTGCTGTGGTGCTGCTGGTGGCGTTGGGTGATTTTTATTTTATTTTACTTATTTGCATTATCGATGTATTGCACTCTGACTCCTCCACCGAGTGCCGCAAATGATCGACCGCTCCTCAAAAGCACCACGCTCCAAGCTCATCCTCAGGCTGTGACAGCATGTTTTCGTCTGGGCAAGAGCAGAAGGGTGTTTCCCCCCTTCTGCCTCCCCAGACGCATCCCCCAGTGCCTGCCCGCTCCCCCCAGACCAGATCTCGTTCCACTCTGACACCACCAGCGCGACTCTTGCTGCTGCTGCTGCCTCTGCTCCTCTGGTCTGACGTTGGGGCTGAACCTGCACCGGCACGCTCTGGTCTCGTTATCTGTCATGGCCGCGACAGAGTTGTGTAGACAGGCTGTTCCCAGTGTGTGGGGCTGTGCGACTGCGATACGCTGGCTGAGTCAGTGATGGCAGTGTACAAAGGCCTCTGGGAAGGCCCCATGTAAGAAAAGGCGGAGTACAACCCCGGAGCCTGGCTCGAATGGGCGTAGTATGACCCCGAGCCCTGGTGGTCGGCGTATTCTGCAAACTGAGCTCTTGAGGCCAACGAGGGGAAGGCAGAGCTGTAGTGAGGAAGGCTGAGGGGGGTGTAAGTGACGTGGGAACCTGCTGAAGCTGCTTCCACAAAGTGACCCGCAGCACCTCCAGCCTCACTCTTAATCTGGGCTTTGGAGGGATCTGAGCTCAGAGGGGAGCCATGGTGTTGCTGTGGTGGCTGCTGCTGCTGCTTGGAGAGCCAGGCTGCTGAGTGTCCACTGGCCGCTGCCAGAGCTGAGGAGATCCCATAGGCGTACGGAGAGGCCGGAGTAGCTGTTGTGGTTCCTGCAGCCCCCGCACTCGGCCCAACCCCTGGGTGCCCATTAGGGGGAAGGTACTGATCAAACTCATTGACATCAAACGGCTCCATATTAGCCATTACCTCATGACTCATCTCACCAATGTCCACGTTACCAAAGTCGATATGAGGTTTCCCAGACCCCGCAGCACCTGAGCTTCCTTCCGCTCCCATTGTACCACGAGAAGTCCCGTTCCCGGCTCCCTCCCTCTTACCATCTCCTGCCTTTGCAGACTGAGGCTCGGTCTTGGGAGTAGTGGGAGGTGTTGGAGGACTGTGGCTCTGACCTGTGGCAAAAGAGAAAGCAGTTACAGCTCGTTTGCCCTGCAGATTCACAGACAATTACCTAAGCGTGTGTCATCATGTTCAGTGGACTCAGGCTTAACAGTGGAGTAGCGGGCGGGAGCCGGCAGCCCACCCACAGCATAAGGGTGATGCCCATCTGCCAGAGGGGACCCGGCTCCCCCACTGTAGGCCACTTCCAGGTGGGTGCCTTTGTAGTGGTACTGGCTGTAGATGACCTCACCCTCCAAATGGCCTTCAGCCTCGCTTCCTGACCCAGAACCAATCTTCCCATTCTTGCGGCGTCGCGGCTGATACTTGTAGTCAGGGTAGTCCTTTTTGTGCTGCTTCCTCAGCCTCTCTGCCTCCTCAATGAAGGGTCGCTTGTCACTCTCATTAAGAAGCCTCAGGGGGGGAAAAATGGTAAATTTGATCGTTTAAGTTACGAAGATCCATAGTCACTTTTTTTCCTGTTGAATACAGTACATATTCTACAGGATGGTGCAAAAAAGACCATAGAATAAAAAAAGAATAAACCTTTATGACTGGCAGTGATTTGCAAATGATTAAAACCTTAGATTTATTTGAAATGTGTAGAAAGACAGTATGATAAATGCTGAAAGGGTAAAATATTTGGATTTTGAAGAATACGCTCATTTTGAATGAGCCAGCAACAGAAATAATTTACTGGTTTGCTTTGTTACCTCATCTTTGATTTAAGCACTTCACACTCCCGTGAAGCTGGATGACCGAGCACCTCAGAGAACACACCTCATCTCTGACCAACACTTTGTAAGAATTAGAAGCCGAGGAGACTGATTGTTCCAGTTTTGGAACCTAAATGTTTTCCAATTCTTCCTTGGTGTAGGATTTCAGATGCTGAAGAGTTTCGGGGCTTTTTTTCTTTCTTTCTTTCTTTTTTTTTTTTTCATTTTCCATTTCATAACGAGATAAATCTGGATTTCTGAACCTTAAATCAGTTCATGTTTCACTGTGAACTGATTTAAGGTTGATTAAGAGTTAAAGGAATGAATTTGATCCCAGAGTAGGAAGAAGTGATTCCAAAAGCCTCTCTTTACTCCTCTGAAATGCTCTTTAACACCCAATAATCAGAATCAGAATCAGAATCAGAATGTTGCCACTTTCTGTCTTATAAAAACATTAACAATACTTTTTTGTTTTTTGTTTGTTTGCGTTTTTGGTTCCCTTATTTATTTATTTTTTTTGGGGGGGGGCATGTTGTCTGTCCCCTATCTTCAGTTATGTGTTTAAATAATTTGCTAATCCTTCATATCATATTTCTATCAACCCTGCCAGGATGACATATTTTCCTTTGTTAGCAGCAATAGTTTCATTTGCTACATCTCCACAACTGCATCTAATGTCACTCCTGCCAGCGGCTTCTGACTGCCAAACTCTAATGAAATAATACAGCCCAAAGTTGCATCCTGTCTGCAACATGGGACTGAGCTCCTACTATTACACCCCTGACAGGAGTGGCATGAGAAAACCCTGACCCTCCTCAGCCTCCCTGTTCATCGTGTTTGTGGGTCAATTAACTGCTACTGACTGAGCCCAAGGTCAAGTCTTTATCAAATTAATATGATCCCTGCAAGGTAATGCATTTAACCTTTTCTGTCCTTCTTGGTAAGAAATAATGAGCGATCTGAAGAAGTCAGCAACCAAGAAGGAAAGACTCTCCAGTGCCTGCCTGACAGAAGGTTGAAATGAAAGAAGTGCAGGTTTTCTGTAAGCAAATGAAGCAATGAAAGACTCAGAATATTATGGAACTGTAAGTTTATTAACTATAAAAAAGGCTAGATCATTCTTCTTCTTCTTAAACTTTGAATGTACTTTAAATGAACTTTGCCAGGGGGGAACTCCTTCCAGCTAATGTTTTCCAGGAATTAAAACAGTGAATTGAATTAGCCAGGATTCAGAAAAATGTGACCAGGGCGCACTCACTGCACCAAAAAACGAGAGCTGCTCAACTGGTGAACTGTGGCCTAAAGCGGAAAGAAGACTGAGCTGCCTCCTAATAGTCTAAAAATACTTATTTTTTTTCAGGAAACATATCACAGATAATATCACGTGTAAAACAGAGTGAGGCATTTTTTTCAAACACGTTATAACTGTGTTGGTTTTCATAGCATTCGACTTTAAGAACATTAAGTGGAGGGTGTGCACTAAATCACACGAGTCAAAGTGGTGAATATACAGTGGCCTCTCTGTGAGCCTGCAGAAGCTGAAATAGAAACGTTAAACACGTTTTGATGTGTTTGAGCTGATATGTTTCAGTTTATTGAGATGATGCCTCTGTAACTATAACTAACGTGTGTGCGCACGCGCGCGCGTGTTCATTTTTGATAAAAAGTCTTCAGTGTCTGATTCAATTATTCCTGGAGTAGCTACTTAAGCTGTGACCCTTGAGCGGTGGTGTTCATGTGATTGTTTATTCGGGACATTTTAATCTGTCAAAGCTTAATTGTCTCTTTCTTGTTTGGTGGAACGAGAATTCACCTAAATTTATTATTCAATTTACTGTGTGTGAGAGCCAGACGTTTTCGGGATTTTAAAGTGGGCCTTAAGACGGACTATAAGCAACCGGCCTGCTCACCTCCAGAGCTTCCCCAGGGTCTTGCTGAGCTCCGCGTTGTGCAGGTGCGGGTGTTGGTCGGCCAGTTTCCTCCGCGCCGCCTGAGCCCACACCATGAAGGCGTTCATTGGCCTCTTCACGTGCTGTTTGTTCTTGCTTCCGCTGCTTACGCGAACGGGCATGGGCACGAGGGTCCAGTCGTAGCACTTGAGCACCTGGCTCACAGCGTCGCGGATTCCCGCGGGGAAGCGGTCATCCTCGTCGTCGGATTTGACGGAGGAGCAACCCGCCGACGCGTCGTCCAGCCCGACCAGCTGCGGCTGATGCTGCTGCCCGTGGAGAGGCGAGTCCCCAGCAACAGCGGCCCCGGAGGAATGACCCGGTGACAGGGAGCGGCTGTCGTCAGACATCCCTGGGCTGAGCTCAACCTCTGAAAAGCTCTGCTCCTCTCTGGACATCGTCCTTCACACAAGCCTCCAGGCGCGCAGAGGATGTAAAAAGCTGTTCTTAAATGCTCAGCTCTACCTGTCTGGTTCTTGTTTCTGTGTAGCTCTGCAGTTTACGCACGGAGGGTCGGCTGTCTCTCTGGCCTCATCTAAGTTATAATATAAACTGCCAGTCTGTCTCTACTCTCAGCCTCCGTTGCAAAACTCTGTGAGGATTCCACATTAAAGTTCTTTCCATCCGTGTTGTTGGTATCATAGGCGGCTCGATGCGCACCTTGGACCCCAGTTTACCTGCTATTGCGCAACTCTCTCCGCCAAACTCACCCGCTCTTACTTCCCTCCTGACTACACCTTCCTTCTCTCCTCCGTTTATCCCGCGATCGAGATCCAACAGCGAGGACCTGAAACAGCAGAGGGATGAGGAGCATCAGCTTAATAAATCAGAGGTAGAGCGGCAGCGGATTTGGGTACGGTTGGCCACGATTTAGCAAAACTTTCTGTTCTTTTCGAATCCAGCATTAAGATGCTGAACGTCCTGGATCTGAAAGCATTAACCCCACATAAATACTCAACACGATATCACGATATGTGAAACCATGCCTATATGTGTATAGTTGTGGCCCTCTATAGCGCACATCCCCCCTGCAGGTCCGGGCCTCGGCTCCCAAAACAAGCTACTGTTTTGCAGTTATTGCAAGCTCCCCGGAGAAAATGTGTTGGAATGATAGGAGACCACAGCAGCACAAAAGTCGGATTTATACCGCGTGGTTCTTGAATAAACACATCATGCCACTGGAAACATAATCCCCCCCCCCCCCCCCCCCCCCCCCCTTAGGCCTGGAGTTAGGGTTAAGGCAGGGGTGTGTGTGTTGTGTGTAGGTGTGTGTGTGTGTGTGTGTGTGTGGGCACTCCTGTAAATTAGACAGCTTGTTAAACAGGGGCAGGTTTAAAGTTGTCCTCGTTTTGTCCATTAAATCAACAGCCTGTCTGGAAGTTTGCGTCCTAAACTTCATGGAAAAGAGCAACACGCAGTCCGATTATTTGTTTTCTATTTAGAAAATTGCTCTGGTCGTTTTTGTTTTTTTAAAGGTTGGCCTCTCAACGCCCCGCTTCCCTCATATTTCTTTTTTAATACGTTTACAGTTTTTCGTAATCATGCAGCACACTACATGTCCGAATCAATGTTCTGCATTTCCTGGCGGTTCGTTTGCTGTGCGCAATTATAATTAATTAACCAAATCTATAATTTTACAAACGGCACAGGAGTTCAAATTACATTTGTGAGCGCTGTGACTCTAAATACATGTTTCCAACACCAGCTTTTAATTAGCCTAACATCTAATTGGATGTTAGGAATTGTATTCGTTTCCAACAGAGCGGCTGGTGCAGCTTCCCCATCTGTCCGAAGCGTATTTTGATGCTCGGTTGCCACCTGGTCTGCAAGGGCACGTCGCGGGCTGTCATCACATCTCTAAAGGTCTGTGTGCGTAAACTGTTGAGGAAAGCGCATTTACGCGCGCGTCTCTTGTGTTTGTAGTACATGCTGCTTGTTTCATTCTTACGAAACAACGAACACCATCGGTGCCTTTTCGTTGTTTCTTAAGAATGAAACAAGCAGCGTCACCTGAACGAGCGGGGATCATTTGCTTTCGCCACCGAGCAATTGGTTAAGTATGTTTTTTCTTTAGCAGATCAAACCAAGATCAAATCAGTGGAAAAGCCATTAAAAAAATCAACTGGACCCATCTACCGATGTGCAGCAGAACAACAAATATCGCTGAATTTATTTGATAACAGCTTAACTGCGTTCGACCCACCCTTTAGATAACGCGTGTTATTACATTACTGAGGATATTTACTGTGGGCTACCAACTGAACTACCGGTAACACTCAACACCCGACTTGCCAGAAATCTGGCTTTCATTTGGTTTTGAAAAAAAAGGGCCTGTTGTTCATAATCTAAAGATTAAGTGTCTGCCAGATACCGAAATATAACTCGATTAAATATGGGGGATAATCGGACTTTTTAATACGTGTGTAAAAGTGTAGAGTCATAAATCGCCTTTAGTTCTGGCAGTCTCCTTTGTTGCGCTTGTTGTGCACTTTTCTTTAATTAATGATGAAATCCTGAAGAAAATAAAGGGGGAAAACACTTGAAGACCAAATAAATTATGATGATCGGCACATGAAACTTTAACCACAACACAAATCGGCTGGAAAACTTCGCAGCACTTGTTGAAAAGAGGAGAGGTGATATTACTGTAGCCCTACAACATCGTTAACTTTTGGCAGCAGGACTATTCTCACATGGTTTAACAGAATCATTGTGGTGGCTAAAACAACAAACAAAAAAAAAAAAACAAAAAAAACCCACCATAAATAACTAAACAATGATCCATGTTTATGAAAGGTAAGAGTGCATTATAAGTCTGAGTTTCGGACTCTGACGAAAAGAAATAATCAAACGGCAGAGTGAGAGCAGCAGCAGCTGTAGAGAGGAAAGAGTTGGAAATGCTAAGCGCCTTACTTCAGTAATGAGGAAAAGGAGGTCGTCGGTTTAGCACGAGAATCCGTGAGTTCCCGTCCGAGTTTCCAAAGTGACGCTCGCTCCCCAGCCCCCTCGCTCGCGCCGCCCGAGTATGAATGCTTGCTCTGTGTGTCTGTACCAGGGCTTAAAGAGCTCCTTGTACGCGCCCGAGAGAAAAAAATGAAAAAGATGCGGAGGAGAGATCTTAAAGGACCAGCGCACATATACGGGCGCAGACTCTGAGCTCTCTGATTGGCCGGGGACTCTCTCTCTCTCTAGCTCCTTAACATCCTCTCCCTCTATCTGTCTATCTATCCAGACCCATCGCACCATTTGTATGTTTTTTATTACGTTAAACAGAGTAATTGGGTACATGAGCACCCATTTCTAATTATTTTACTTTGGGAGATGCATAGTTTCATCACACCAATAATGATAAGACGATAAAGGTGAAATTGGGCTATCTGTGTTTGGGTATTAATTTTGGCAGGGAAACCAGCTTTATTATTATTATTATTATTATTATTATTATTATTATTATTATTATTATTATTATTATTATTATTATTATTATTATTATTCTAAAAAAGAATCTTTAATTTACTGTCTGAAACATCTACACTTCACATTGAAGCCTCAATCCTGTACATTGCTTTTTTCGGGGAAAAAGAGTGAGAGAAAATTTCCTCCTGTATATAACATAGTGGCTATGGAGAAGGGGTTTTTCATTTCAGAACATGCTCACAGACAGCACTGACAGATCCGAGTCCGGATTATTTACTAAGAGAAGAAATGGGCGTCAGTCTTGGCCTTGTGAGCAGAAAGAGACCCGGTACTTAAACGCGCTCTGCGATGCAGGCCTCAAATAAGTTTGGAAATGGCAGGTTTTACGCACCAGTTGCGCACTTGGTTTAGAAAGAAAGAAATATAGCAATATTCTCTGACTTTTACTTCAACGCATAGGGAGCTTACGTTTACAAACACAAATTAACCCACAACACAATCAGGCATGTCTTATGAAACGGATATAAAATGGGCACCTTTTTGGCCTAGTATAAAACGATCCAAACCACTTAACCTGTTTAATTTTAGCCAGATTGAGTCACAGGTGTTAGCGCCAATTTCAGAGCTCGTGCAGTTTGTGCTGCATCTCGTGTGGATTTCATAATTGCATCAGCGCCTCTAACTGAGAGAGAGCGCGCGTTTCAAACCAAACAGTGCTGGTAAGCAGAAAGGAGAGACGGCGAGGGGACGTAACTGGCCGCACGGATACAACCACCAGCGCTGTTCCTCGCAACAATGACCCCTTGTATCCCCGCCATGCGACACACCGGCCCCCAGTCCAAAAATCACCACTGAATGCTGACTGTGATAAAGGAATCCTAACCACGAGTGAATCTCTGTGTTGCCTCTTTCATTCCCCCGGTTCCCCTCCTTTCTTTGCTCCCTTTGTTTTCTTCTTCTTCTTCTTTTTTTCTATCTCAGGTGAATTGTAATCATGTGATCAAAACGAGCACCCTCTTCTCCCTTAAATTAAAAAAAAAAGAACTGTGGGACAAAAAGCAGTTCTGTGTCTATAAAAAAAGAAAAGAAAATTGTGGAAAACGCTTGTGTCTCCCCCATCTACCGCCACTCTTTGTCCGAGTCTCAGTCTGTGGCATATAAGGGAAAAAATGCTCCAGGAGCGCCGAGGACACAACCCGGGGAGCTGTGCTGGGACTTCCCGGCTCCTGAAGCTGTAAATCGAGGACCTGCGGAGAGAGACACTCCGGGATTCCCCCCCCCTCCTGTGCAGCTGAGGATTTGCGGCCCGGCCTCGGGTTGACGTGAGTGCTTTGGCTTGTGTTTGTGAAATGATGCTAATGGGGACGAAGAGCCCCAAAATATAGCCCCTTTCTCTACAAGAGCTAAATACTTCTGTGTGAGACCATAAACGTCAATTTATGTAATTTCTGGAAGAGAGATGGTTGTGAAAATGCGCTGGTTTCTGAAATTTGCGTCATTTTTTTAATGTTTGAACCACAATTTTGATTCTGAAGCAATAAAGAACAAAAGGCAGCTACATAATTTTGATATACAAATTTTTTAAGAACTATTTTGTGTTGGCGTCTTTCTGGGAAAAGATGAGACTAGTTTTTATTTTCTCGTACGAAAATGTTGCCCTTCCAGCGCTTCGGATAGCCTGGTGATGGATGGCTTGACATTATGCGCACTTCGTTTAGAGAGAAATTCAATTAAGCAAAGAAATAGATTAAGCATTCAGAAAAACAAGACATTCATTGTGCGATACACATATGCACCGAGTCTTTCTAAACAGACTCCCTTGGGAGAGCTCATTGTGGCTTTTTCATAACCATCATGAATTCTTCTCTTACATGTATTTACTGTCCAAGGCTTCGTCTTGGAGACGGTTAATATTTTCTTATTGGAAAACGCCAAAGGTTAAATAATTAAAATAACATTTTAAAATGAAAGAATTATTTGTATCATAATAATTGTAATACTTTATTTGTATTATTTAAATTGTTTTCGTAAGTAATATATTTTATTAAAGTAGTTAAAAAGTAAGTCATATTAGATTTAAAAACTTTATTAGGGCAATTTTTGCTGAATAACATCCTGAAATCTGTTAGAAAAATATTTTAAAAGCTTTGTAGTGAACTGAAACGATCCCCTATATAATGTCGAGATTCTTACACCGAAAACGCCACAGTGGAAACACTGTTGTTTCTGGAATGTACATTTCATGATGGCTCATCTTTTATTCTTATTCTTAGGGATGTCGTTTTACTGCATTTTAGCAGTTTCTTGTACTTTCCTGCACTGAAGCAGTCAGTGGGCGATTCATATTTCCCAACATGAATGTATACCGAAACAGGCCCAAATGATACAAAGTCCTTTTGTCATGTGAAGATGTTTTTCGAAGTCAAACTTGGAGATACAAACACATGAAAACATCTCTTAGGATGACAGCTAAAGGTCGGCAGTTAGTGGGTTGGCAGTGTCAAAAGAGAAGTCTCGGTGCAGTCCTGTGACCATGGCAGTGTG